ATTATAGTTCACAAAAAGAGAAACTTTTTCTGTATTTTTTACCTGAACATTTAAAATCTAAACCATTTATTAACAAAGTACTTCTAAAAAAATCTAAGATCCATTCTCTTAAAATAATTATGAAAATAACAAGTACAAATTAAGCATATGTAAGTTCTAATAACAACAAATTTCATCCCTTAAAGTATAATGTTAAGAGCACCCTCTACTGACTGACCAAATTAGTCTAAAATAAGAAAATCTTATACTTTAAGTAAGATCAACATTCTGTACTTAACATGTAATTTTTTTTTTTTTTGAGTGCTTGCCTAGTATCCACAAGGTCTTGGGTTCCTTCTAGCATGGACAGATGGATGAAAAAGGAAAGAGGGAAGGAAGAAATAAAAGAAAAAGAAAAGGAGGGGAGGGAGAAGGGAGGACAAGGACAAAAGAAAAAAGAAAGGAAGGGAGGGAGGGAGGGACAAAGCAAAGAAAAGATGATACAAAAAACCACAAGGACAAAGTTCTAATATAATCAGATAAAACCTTCTTGGATGCTCTACAAATCAACAATCCATTTAGAGAGCATGAATTATTCTTATTTTTCTATTCTAGTTTGACAAACTAACATAAACAATTACTGAATTAAACAAAACAAAATGGGGAAATTTTTCAAAACAATGCAGTAGGTGGTAGAAAGAGCTCTGAAATAGAACTCTCAGAGCATGAGTCCTGCATGCTTATTTACTTGAGCCCTGACTTCATAAAGAAAAGCAAGGGTAAACACTCTACAGAATGAAGTGTTGTGGTTCTGGAATAGAAAATAAAGCCAATTAAGACCTTTAAACAAAGCTGGGCATAGTGGCACATGCCTTACAGTTCCAGCTACTCAGGAAATTAAGACAGGAGAGTCCCTTGAGTTCATGAGTTTGAAATCATCCTGGATGCTCAATCATCCCACAAAGATACTTAAACAGGTACAACCATAAGCAGTATGGGGGAGGGAGGAGGGGGAGAGGGAGAGAAGGGGAGGGAGGAAGGGAGGAAGGAAGGAGAGAGACAAAATGACAAAAAAAGGAAGCAGATACAGTACTGAGGTGGCAGAAAAATACAAATGGTCACTTTCGGTCAAAGGACTGAAGAAAGAGATGATACTTAGGCTAGAAGTTAGAAGAAGGAAAGGAGGAATACACGAGAAATGTGTTGAATTTTGTCAACAGCTTTTGTGAATCCATTATAGGCTGAATATGATACAGGCTGAATTATCTTTTTTCTGAAAAGCCTAAGATCAGAAGTGTTTCAGACTGGATTTTACAATATTTGCATAATACATTATGAGATATCTTGGGGTGGGATCCAAGTCTAACACAAAGTTCATTTACATTTCATATACACTTTTACATACTTATGTGTGCAAGTCTACATACTTGTTTTTAGTGAGCCTGCATTATGTGTAAGTGTGTGGTGCTGGAGATGAAACTCATCATGCACACTAAGCACACACTCTGCCACTAAATGACAGCCCAGCCCCACTGCACCTGCATTTCTACTACTACCCAGCATCCAAGACCCGGATGGACTTTTGTCTTTTGTCACGTCAGTGCTCAACAATAACAGACTTTGGAGCATTTCAGATTTTCAGATTAGGAATGCTCAATATGAATTTTTTTATCTTCTAGCTGTAATTCATTCTTTTTTTCTTTTATGTTTTTATTTTACAGCAGTGGAGATTCAACACCCTACCACTGAGCTACATAGTCAGATCCTTTTTAAAGTTTTTATTTTGCAACAGGGTCTCACTAAGTTTTGCAGGCTGGCCTCAAATTTGCAATCCTACTGCCTCCACTTCCTAAGTAGTTGGATTACAGGTGCACACCACAAGTTGGCTCCAATATTTCTGACTGTTGCTGAACCAGTCTTACATATATTCAATACAACCTATTTGGTCACAGTATGCAGTTAACTTTATTTACTGTTGGATTCAATTTGCCAATATTTTAGTGTAGATTTTCGTATGTCACACTCATGAGATTGTGTTTTCTATTTTCTTTATACTGTCTTACTTGGTATTAGAATAATGGCCTTAAAAATGATTTGGAAAATGTTCTGTCCTCTTGAACTTTCTAGAAAATGCTATTAAAATGGTATTAATTCCTCTTTAAATGTTAGACAAAGATTTCTGGTATAATTATTTCAGCCAGGACTCTTACTTCCCACAAGCCTGCAACCTCCACCCTCTAACAACAAATTCAAGGCCAGGCATGGAGGCACACACCTGTAATATCAGCACTAGGGAGGCTGAGGCAGGAGGATCACTGATAGTTCAAGGCCAGGCTGGGCTACACCTCATGAGTTCAAGGTCAGACTCAACTATATAAAAAAACGATGTCTTAAAAAACAACAAACAAAATGTTGCAAATTCAAATTTTTTATGTTTGGATCTATTCATCTTGTCTGTCTCACATTGTTTATTAGTAGTTTGTGGGTTTTCAGGAATTGGTCTCTTTCTCCGAAGTTACTGAATTTATGCACAAAAGTTGCTTAAAGTACATTATCTCCTTATCTCTTAATGAGTATACAATCTGTAGTGATGGGCCCTATCTACTTTATTCTTGATACAGATAATTTGTAGAGGATTGACTTTTCACCATAATAGTAGCTTTAAAAAAAAAAAAAAGAAAAGAAAAGAAACTGAGAAGCATCAGGTATGGCAGAACATGCCTGTAATCCCAGCTACTCTGGGGGCAAAGGAAATAAGACTGAAAGTTTCAGGCCACCACAGGCAACTTAGTGAGACCAAGTCTCAAAATAAAATTTTAAAAGAGCTGGGACTATAGCTTAGTGGCAAAGCATTGGTTTAGCATACACCAGGCACTGGGTTCAATCCCCAATGCCAGAATGAATAAATGAATGATAGAATTTAAAACTTTAATACAATTACTTTCACACAAACTCTCTAAAAAGAAAAATATTTTCATTTGCAAATAAAAGACACCCAGAAAGAATAAATTTGACAAAGTAGGACCATGGTAAATTTAAGCCAAAAATCACTGTTCTACAGTAAGAGGGAAAAATATTATTTATTGATATCATATATAGAATCAAAGATAAAACAAACCATAATGAATGTATAATAACCACCACAGAAAATAGACTAAAACACAGCTGAAAGACAGGACTTAGCACTTATTTTACAAGATAAAATTTCCTAAATTGTTCAGTTTCTCAACTAGGAGCAGTTTTTCCCCTTCCCTGGAAATTTGGTAACAATTCTTATTATCGTAACTGGGGAAGTGTACAGGTATTTGAGGGCAGAAGTTAGGGCAGCAACTAAACATCCTACAATGTAAAGGACAGCCCCTACAATGACAAATTATCCAATTAAAAATATCAACAATAATTCTGTTGAGAAATCTGGCTTTATAATGATAAAACTGAAAAATTCTATTAGTAACACAAATTCTTTAAAAGTCTAACTAAACCATCAAGAACCATAGACTATTGCTACTCACCCACAATCCTTCCCCCCTCCTGCCTTTCCCTCTTCTGATCATTGCTCCTTCTACACTTTTAAAAAACCACCTTCCCATTCTAAAACTTCCAATTCTTTTGAAACAAAAGTAAACAGAAAACTGCTTTACCTTTGCTGAGTTCTAGAAGTATCTAATAATCATAATGAGTCTTATATGTGATCATGAAGCTCACTGTTACATACCGATTTAATAGTACTATGAAACAACTGTCATCCCTTCCCAGAACCACCTGAAAAGATGAAAGACTTAACCCATAACTCAATATAAAATATCAACCTTATATTTCTAAGCCAAAATCGAAAGTATACTTTTAAGATTTCATCAGCACAAGGTGAGCTCCAAAGTTTACTTTTGCTAATTATTCCATTTGCATTAAACACCTAACTAGCTTCCTTCCTTTTTGTCCTTCATTTTAATATTCCAAGATTGAGAGCAAGTCCATTTTTAACCCACCTGTATTTTTGAAATTTCATCTAAATCTTGTCTTAGTACATATCTTTTACATTAAATTGCATGCAAATGGCAGCATCTGACTACCTACATTCCACCACACCTTGAAATACATTTTCCAGATCTTTCTCATTATGATTTCTGTAGTTTCATTACATATTTTTGAAAACATAGTGAATAAAATTTCCAGAAACAGAGGAAGTACCAAAAAAAATCATTTATGTGTGGATAAGCCCAAATTTAGGATTTATTTTCAATACACTTCTTAAAAATGACACAAGATCAAATTATTTTTCACATTAAGAGGAAATTAGGCCAGAAATGGTGGTGCAAATAATTGCAATTACTCAGGAAGCTGAGGCAAAAGGTTTACAAATTTGAGGCCAGCTGGGGCAACTTACTAAGATCTCAAAACAAAAAAACAAATAAATAAATAACTAGGACAAGAGCCATAGCTCAGTGGTAGAGCACTTGCCTAAATATGCCTGAAGGCCTGAGTTCAATCCGCAGTATCATACAAGAGGGGAGGGGAAGGGGAGGAGAAGGAGGAGAGGAGGTAGGAAAGCAGAGCAAAGCAGAGCAAAGCAAAGCAATGCAAAGCAGAAAAAAACAATATTTTAAATGCTCTAAACCAAAGTATCAGTGGTCAACTAAAGTGGCAATTAATTTGAATGATGTCAATTTACTCATGTTCATGTAGTTTTGTTACAAATATTCTGGAGACAAAATTGAAACATGTCATAGATGACTTGTCTATATCAAAGTTCTATATATATGAAAAAAACTAGAACCAAATAATATTTTAACATTTAAAAATCAATTGCTGAGAATAAGTGAGTCTGTCAAGTCATCCATGCATCCAAATAGAAGGCATAAATATTTTCAATAAAATAGTTTAATAATGACTGAAACCTCACTCATGAGCTAAACTAGTGATTTCTTTCTTAACAGAACCTTTTTAATGACTATTTTAGGGCACTATACCTTCTTAAAGCTACAATATACTTAATGCTTAATAATGCAGAAAAATTCACTCACCATTTCAGTGGTGTGCCTTCATATTCAAACCATATCTCACTATTATCTTCTTGTCTCATAACCTTCTGAAAGTGCTTTTTCACTTTGTCAGTTACCAACGTCAAATAACTTACTCTTGGCAAAAGCAACTGAAATGAAAATTTGTAAAATCATATTTATTTACTAGTTTTTTCCAAAAGAAATACTAAATAGGTTTTTTAAATCTTTTACAGCCATGTTCTTTACATTGACTATCCCAAACAAAATCAAATGCTTTTAAACAGAAAATCAAAGGCTAATTAACATGTCTGAATATTTATGAAGTCATTTAAAAGATATTATATATGCCTAAAATAACTGACGAAAATCTACTATCTTTTCTGTAACACTTTATATAGAAATGATATAATTATGGATATCATCCTATTTAGGATACTTAACAGTTCTGTGAAATTTAACTTAAAATTAAAACAATTCACCTGAGTTGATTCATCTTTTAGGAGAAGATAACTAATTAATTCGTTCTAATATATACCTTGATTTATCAATCAGACTCTCACAACTGGCCCACCATGTTTGGAAGTTTATGAAGAATGTTGGGCTAGATAAAGCCTCAACTGGAATACTATGAAGGAAATTTGTGTTTTCCTCCCAGTACTAAAATCCAGAGAGAAAACAGGAGTTTTCAAAACTGGTCATGATTTATGAACCCAGAAATAAACAAAATGGGGGAAATTTGATGTTTTTCCTCCTTTGCATCAGATACTCTAGTCACTTTTTGCTTTCCTAACCACTGTCTTCTTTTGGTGGTAAAACTATTTTGTTACTCATTTTCTCTCTCTCTCTCTGCCTCCCCCACTATTTCCCCTCACAAGGCTTGCATTTGTTAGTCTAACTGAACCATCTGTCAGGCTCATTATTCCAGGTGATGTCTTTTCATTACTAAAGGAAGGAGAACTGGGTTAGCAAATGTATACAAAGAAATAGTGATTTCTAGTGGATGAAACTGATATTTAGTCATGGAAATCCAAGGTAAGAGGTCCCAATTAGGAGACCACGACAGGCTTAGGGATATAGAAGTACAGGAGGGAAACAGGTGGCATACACTTATATGAAATGAAAGGTATTAAATACTATGGAGAAACTTGGATTCAATGTTTGTTTTTAAAAATTCAATGTTTTTTAATAAATAAAAAACTTATTAGTGAAGCAAAGGAATGGAAACTAATATGTGTAAGAGAAGGCACTAATTTTTAAACAGAAAGAACTGTCATCTGTTTTATGTAGAGCTTAAATAACTTGACAAATCATACGATATTATACAAAAGAGTCACTAGAGTTTTTCAGAAATGACAGAATAAAGCCAGGCACAGTTGTACACAGAACTCTGAGAGGTTGCAGTAGGAGAATAGCAAGTTGGAGCCAGCCTGGACAACTTAGCAACTTAGCGAGACTCTGTCTCAAAATTTAAAAATAATAGCAATAAAGGCTGGGGATATATCTCACTATGAAGGCCCTGAGTTCAAACCCCAGTACAACAACAAAAAAATAATCAAATAGTTTGTAATTGCTAAAACTTGGAAACAGCCCATTTGCCCATCAGTTGGAAACTGGATAAAGAAGATGTGGTTTTTCTATAAAATGGAATATTACTCAGCCATAAAGAATGAGAAAATAGATTCATTCATAGGAAAATGGATACATATTGAAGATATACTCCTAAGTGAAATAAGTAAGTCACATGTGTAAATATTGAATAGCTTCTCTGGTGTGAATAAACTGCAATAATACATAAGATCCTAATAAGATTACTGACATTGTGAAATGGGAAGAAGGGGGCTAAAGGTGTAGGGAAGGTGGGATGGATAGGGGAAGGGTAATAAGGGAAAAGAAAAAAATGTGAGATAATGAAAAGATGAAAATAAAGTGTTTGTAGATGGGGAGGGGAAGAGGCGGTGAAAGGAGGGCAGGGGTAAGGGGAAAAAATGAGTATCAAGACCTGTCATGTAGAGGTACAAGATCCCAACAATGAATGTAACTGTACTGTATCCCTAAAATGTACCAATAAACTCAATTAAAGCTGAAAAAAATAATCAAATGGGTGTGACATGTAAGTTTATAAGAAATCAAAACAGCATAGAGATCAGTCATTTCCTAAAAATAAAAAATGTATTTTATTAGTCTAATCTAGTAAGGTCCTTATTAGTAAATCCAGAACTTCAATTTTAAATGACCACTCAGCATTACTTAGCAAAAACCTACTTCTCAAAGAGTAATATTAACCAATGGAAATTGCAAGAAGAGAGACACACATCATGAATAAAGAGTATGATATTATTTTTTTTGGGGGGGGGTTGGTTTTTCTGAGACAGGGTCTCACTATGTAGTTGAGACTAATCTGTAATTCACTATGTACTCCAGGCTGTTCTGGAACTCACAGATCCTCCTGCCTCAGCCTCCTGAGTGCTGGGATTATAGGCATGTGCCACCACGCCCAGCCTGCTATCAGTTCTTAATTTTGAAAAGTGTTACACAGCTAACACTCAGGCAAAGTTGCTGAAGAATTCACAAATGATATTCGCAAAATAAAGTTTACTTAATAATAAAGAATGAAGATAATTAGAATGTAACCTCCAAGGCTGGGCAGGACAGTGGACACCTGTATTCCCAGCACTCGAGAGCCCAAGGCAGCAGGATGGCTGCAAGTTCGAGGCTAGCCTAAATAAATAAATAAATAGGAATGTAACCTCCATTGAGTCAGGGATTTGGGTCTGTTCAATGTTGCATTCCCACTGCCCAAAATAGTGTTTGCTTGACAGAGATACATATTATTTTCTGAATGAATCCAATGCTAAAGAGTAAGTGTGGCAAAAGCCAAAATGGTAATTAAAAAAAATACCCATAAGGCAGAATCCACAATGAAATGTAGTTGGAATCTTCTGTTTGATATTTGCCAGTGGGAATAATCACTAACATAAATATCCACAGTAATGCTAAAAAATAAATTTAAAATTTAAAAAATGACTATATGAAAATAACTGAAATGACATCACCCTGCCCTTTGTCTCTAGACTATACTACTCACTGTTTTTCTTAGGTATATTTCATTGGCTTGAAGTTCTTTTTTCAAATGTGGTAAAATAAGCTAGGCATGGTGGCATATGCCTGATAATCCTAGCACTTGGAAGGCTAAAGCAGGAGGACCACAAGTTCAAGGCCAGCCTAAGCTATATAGCAAGATCCTGTCTCAGAAAACATGCATACATGCATATATGCCTAAATATAGTAAAGTACATCTAGCATAACTTACCTTTTTTTTTCCCCCTTTTGGTACCAGGGATCAAACTCATGACCTTGCGCTTACAAAGCAGGTGCAGTGCCACTGAGCTACATCCCTAGTGTCATAAATTATATTCACACTGTTGTGCAGTTATCACCACTTTCCATCTCCAGAACTTTTTCATCATCCCAAAGGGAAATCTGGCACCCATTATATAATTCTCCATACAGCGGCACATGCCTGTAATGCCAGCACTCTGGGAGGAAGAGGCAGGAAGATCATGAGGCCAAGCCAAGCTTGAGTAATTTGGTGAGACCCTGTCTCAAAATAAAGGACTGGGGACACAACTCATGCAAAGGCCCCGAGTTCAATCCCTGGTCCAAACACAAAAAGAATAAATAATTCCCCAGTCTTCCCTTCTCCCTGGTCCTGATAAACCGCTATTCTATTTTTTGACTGTGAATTCGCCTATGCTAAGTACTGTACTTCATGAGAGTGGAACCATACAGTATTTGTTCTTTTGTCTCAATTATTCCACTTAGCAAATCTTTAATGTTCTGTAAGTTTTTTTTAATATGAAAAGCATTAACCACATTTATGTTAATTATTAGGTCCCATGCAATCTCTTAGTCCTCAATTTATGACAGGTATAAAGTACTCCTAAAAGGAATTACAGGTTTGATTCAGTAGCATGGAATACATATATTTCTGGGAAAGGAACCTATAATATTATTTCTTTATGCTAAGTACTACTCTACCCAACATTTTTCAAATACAAAACTAGAGGTATAGCTGGGCCTGATACTTCAGGGGAGGCTAAGGCACGAAGACCACAGTGGAGCTGAGGCCAGCCTAGACTATACAGCAAGACTCTCTATCAAATCCCTTCACCTCTGACGAAAACATTACAAATTTATCTAGAACAAAAGTAGAAATATAATATACCAGAACTGTAATCCACTCTAACGTATAAGGCATTATACTAAGCAACAGGGACAGGACATCAGACAGAAAGAATCCTTCTCTTCTGAAGCACACAGGCTAAAATGAAAAACATACTTAAAAAAAATACAAGAGATGAAGGCAAGGAGAACTATACATAGAATGCTACTACAGAATGTTGCTGTCACAACAGCAAGTAAGCAAAGTAATTTAACTTAATCTAGGGGCTCAACAGAATATGACAGGAAACATTTTAAGGCAAGAGTAAACAACAAACAGGAATGAACCAAAATAGTCAGAAGTATGGATGTATGAGGTAGTGCAAGGTAGGAGATACTTGTGCCCATTCCAGACAGAGGCTGAAAGGCACAGAGTGATGGTGAGATACAAAGATTGGCACATCTGAGCGAACTGTTAAAAAGTTAAATACAACAGAAATGTAGAGTTGCAACAGAATAGTACAGAAGCAACAAGGGGTCAGACTACACAGAACTTTGTAAGCTACAGTAAGGATTTCAAAGATGATAAAAAGTCACTAAAGGCTTTAAGCAAACAGGTGACAAGATCAGACAGTATTTTGAAAAGATCACTCCAAGTACAGAATAGAAAATGAAGAGAAAGGAAAACTGAAAGTAGGAAAACTACTGCTATGTAATCCATCAATTTTTAAATGGTGGTCTAAATTAAGCTCCAGTTGCAGGGATGAAAAACATCAGGTAAATCAGGGAGACACTGAGATGTAAAATCAACTGGATTAAGTTACTGACCCAATGTCAGGAATTATCAGAGAAGCATGAATGAGTAACTCCCAGCTTTTGGGTACAATTAATTAATGATATGAATAACAGGGCCATTTGCCAAAAGAGGATGGGAAAATGGCAGATGACCAGATTTTCTGGTGGTAAAGTTGAGTTCAGTTTTCAAATA